GGGGTGGGGTGGAGCTGGGGGCTGTTGTGCCTCACATGCATAAGGCACTGGGTTTGAGCCTCAGCACCACATAAAAATAAAGGTATTGTGTTCACCTACAATTAAATAAATAAATATTAAAGAAAGAAAGAAATCTGAACCCTCACACACAGCTGATGGGAATATAAATGGTTCAGCCCTTTGGAGAACAGGCGGGCAGTTCCTCAAATGATTATACAGAATTACCCTATAACCAAGCAATGGAAACAGACGTTCACACAGAAACCTGTGCATGATCCATTAAAAAGAAGCAGCATTCATAACACAAAGTGAAATCAGCTCCAATATTCATCAGGGGATGAATGGATAAACAGATGGGGGTATGTCATACAATGGCACATGCAAGACCACCCCCCCCCACGATGTCCTTCTGTGGTTGAATCTGAGAGCACATCCGCACCCCAGAATCTTATTTGCTCAGCAGTGAAAAGGAAGAAGCTCTTAGCACATGGAACAACTTGGAGAGAACTCAAGGGATTTATACTGAGTAAACAAAATCAGTCTCAAAAGATTACCTACTGCATGATTCCGCTTATATAATATCCTCGAAATAACAAAATTAAAGCAGGAAAAACAGGTAAGTAAGGTTGCCAGAGGTTAGAAATGGGAGGGAGCTCAGGATGTAGCTCAGTGGTAGAAGGCATGTTTGACATCCTTGTTCAATTTCCAACAAAAAACGCAGAGGGACGGGAAGGAGAAGTGGCTGTGGAAGTAGCTGGAGGGATCCTATGGGATCCTATGGTGATGGAACAGTTCTGTAACTTCTATTTTATTTTGGGGCACTAAGGATTAACCCAGGGGTACTTAACCACTGAGCCACAACCCCAGACAGGGTCTCACTAAATTGCTGAGGCTGGCTTTGAACTTATGATCCTCCTGCCTCAGCCTCCTGAGCTGCTTATAGGAATGTACCCCAGAGCCCTGCTGGAACAGTTCTTTATCTTTTTTATTTATTTATTTATTTATTTTTAGTTGTAGATGAACACAATACCTTTAATTTATTTATTATTATTATTATTTTGGTATGTGGTGCTGAGGATATAACCCAGTGCCTCACATGGGCCAGGCGAGTGCTCCACCATTGAGCCACAGTCTCAGGCCCCAGTTCTTTATCTTGATTGCGGTGGTGGTTACATACATCCGTACGTGAGGTGGAACTGCATAAATGTATACACACATACACCCACGAATGAATGCGGCAAAACTGAGTAAGCTCCTTTTAGAATTGTACTATAGTTATGCAAGATGTTATCGTTGGAGAAAAATGGGTGAAGGGTACATGGGATTTTCTGGTACATTTTTCTGCAACTTCGTATAAATCTGCAATTGTGTAACTATTTCATAGTTAAAAACTTTAAAAAAAAATTGAAGCAGTAGGACTGGGGGTGTTAGCTTCGTGGTACAGCACGTGCTTAGCTTATCAACCCCCTGCTTGCTTTCTGTCTCTCTCTTTCATACAATTGAAACAGTAATTAAATTTTCAATGATGAAGACACCAGATTCTGATGGTATGACAGACAAATACTACCATCTTTCAAGAAACATTCTAATTTCATACAGTCTTTCAAAATAAAGACAAAGAGGGAATATCTTTCCCCGTCTAATTCTGTAGACCAATATAGCCTTTATATCAACTCTGATTAGAGAAACAAGAGGGACAGGAATAACAGATCCATTTCATTTGTGATGTAAGTACAAATATTCTAAATGAAATATGAGTGACCAATATCCAATAATGAATGAAAGAAACAACATGTCATGTCTATATCCAGGTTGGGGTTATCCCAGAAATAACACACCTACATGTTAGGCTTTCTGTGAATGTCATTCACTCTAATAACTGATGAAGGAGTAAAAAATTATAAAATCACTTAAATAAATGCAGAAAATCATTTTATGATATTTATCATAAATAACAAATACAAGGTAACCCAAAGGGGAGGGAGGACCTCCAACAAGTGTTAAACTCAATATAGAAACTTCATTGGGACTTGGTGGTACCTGGAATCCCAGCAGCTTGGGAGGCTGAGGCAGGAGGATCACAAGTTCAAAGCCAGCCTCAGAAATTTAGTGAGGCCCTAAGCAATTTAGTAAGACCTGGTCTCAAAATAAGATATGAAAAGCATTGGGGATGTGGCTCAGTGATTAAGCACCCCCTGGTTCAATCCCTGGCACCACAAAAAAAAAACAAAAACAAAAAACAAAAAAAAACACACCTCATTGAAGAATCTAAAAACAAGTTATTAGTAATTAAAAGAGTGTAGCAGAGCCAGGTGCAATGACATTCAATGATACTTGGGAGACTGAAGCAGGAGAATCACAAGTTCGAGGCTAACCTGGGCTATTTACAATACCCTGTCTCAAAATAAAAAACAAACAGCTGGGCGTGGTGGTGCTCGCCTATGATTGCAGCAGCTCCAGAGGCTGAGAGATGGGGATCCCAAGTTCAAAGCCAGCCTCAGCAATGGTGAGGCGATAAACAACTCAGTGAGACCCTGTCTCTAAATAAAATACAAAATAGGGCTGGGGATGTGGCCCAGTGATAAGAGTGCCCCTGAGTTCAATCCCCAGTATCCCCTCTCCCCCACACTAAAAAAACGTTGCGTGTGGCCTTTTACTCTTGGTATACTCAATATCCCATATGTTCATAAATCAGGTTCAACAATTATCAATTTGTGGACAATCTCATTTCATTTGGACCCTCTTCTACTTCCCCTTTTTAGATTATTTCAGAGCAGATCCCAGACATTACATCATTTTATCCTAAAGAGGGAACTTGCTTTCAATGTTTTGACAATAAGCTGCAAGAGGAATCTTTTTGCTCTCCAGTTAAGTTAGTCACACATTCCAATAAAATAAAATGGAAATCAGATTGTTTACCTTAAATGTTATTATTATTTTGATTTTTTGTACCAAGGATTGAATGCAGAGGCAGTTAACCACAACTGCAGTCCTCTCATATATTTTATTTAGAGACAGGGGCTCTCTAAATTGCTCAGGGCCTCACTAAATTGCTGAGGCTGGCTTTGAGCTCATGATCCTCCTGCCTCAGCTTCCCAAGCCACTGGGATTACAGGCGTGTGCCTGGCCTTAAATGTCATTTTCAATTTGTTTAATCTTCACAGCTTAATGCAAGTAAAATTTAAAAATAAACGAAAAACAAATGGAGTTTGTTACCCATTCTTTTTCTTTTCTTCCTTCTCTTCCTCCTTCTTAGAGAGGGGAGAGTGCTACTGTAGTCCCCCACTACCACAAATTATGCAAGTTTCCTACATTTGGGGAAATCACAGGGGTCAGCACATCTGCAGTGCTGTGGATAAGCCACACTCAGGGAAAATCACTTTTGTGATCATTGTGTATCCTCTGCCAGGTAAGTAGTTTACCTCCTTTTTTTTTTTTTAGTTGTAGATGGACACAATATCTTTATTTTTATGTGACACTGTGGATTGAACCCAGGGCTTCACACATGTGAGTCAATCGCTCTACCACTGAGCTATAAACCCAGCCCTCAGAGGCCAGCTTTGAATTTACTCTCCTCCTGCCTTAGCCTCCCAAGCTGTTGGGATTACAGGCATCAACTGTGGAATCTTTATCTCAGACATCACCTGCTAAATTTTGGCTTTGATTTCTGCTAAATGCTTATCATCATTATGGAAAATTTTAGTCTATGACTTTATTTCTTTGGGTACTGGGATCAAACCCAGGGCCTCTACCACTTAGCTACCCATCGGTTCCACTCCCAATTTTTTTTTTCTCTGATCATCTAGAACAGACTATGAAAATGTAAACATTAGCAAATAAATCTTTAAAACATCTATCTTTGTTTTTCTCCCAATGCTCAGGGTCAAACCTGGGGCCTTGAATCCAGGGCCTTGTGTGTGCTAGGAAGTGCTCTACACAGAATCATTCCTCTTCTTAAGACTTTTTATTGTTGTATTAAACATTTACCACTTACTGTACTTTGATTCTGTTTTTCTTTACACTTTTCCTGTTGAAGTTTCCTGGCTTGAAAGTTATAAGTGTGTCCCAGTGGCTCAGGAGGCAGGGGCAGGAGGATCATGAGTTCAAAGCCAGTCTCAGCAACTAACCGAGGCCCTAAGCAACTCAGCGAGACCCTGTTTCTAAATAAAATTTAAAAAAGGGCTGGGGATGTGGCTCAGTGGTTAAGCGCCCCTGGGTTCAATCCCAGGTGCCAAAAAAAAAGTTATGAATGCTAGTTTTATTTTATGCTATGTCTTAGCAAAAGGAGATTCTCATATTTATTTGATTTCTATCCATTTTTGAGCCTTAGCCATATTTCTTCTAATAAGCAAGTACTTTTGCACTTTTCTTATGTACCACTGTCTCTCTCTCTCTCTCTCAGACTCTTTATGGTCATATTGTCCAGAATTTCAGTTCTGGAATTATATTGACACTTTCTAATTTCTCTTTTCCTTTGCAATCACCTTTTCTTCTTCTCTTCTCCCCCCTCCTTTATTTATTTATTTATTTATTTATTTATTTATTTATTTATTTGTTTATTTATTTATTTATTTATTTATTTATCTATTGTCTTGAGGATTGAACCCTGGGCTTGTGCATGTGAGGGAAGCGCTCTACCGGCTGAGCTGCATCCCCAGCCCTCTTTCTGTTGTTCACTGTATACTTTACTTCTCCATCTGCACATATAGGCTTTGTTTCCTTTTTTTGCTTCCACCAGGGACATTGTGCTGCCCTGACATGACCCCATGTCCCTTGAGAATGGTGAAAGAACAGCCACCATCTCTTTACTCCTCACCCACATACCGGCCTTAATTTTCCTGAGGTTTCTTGTTTAGAATTCACAGCATTGCTCAAATCTGTGGCTTTACCTTATTTCATTTTATTTTTGATGTAGATAGAGAGACAATCTCTTTCTTTCTTCCTTCCTTCCTCTCTCTCTTTCGTTGAGGATCAAACCTAGCACCTCACACGTGCTAGGTAAGTGCTCTCTACCACTGAGCCACAACCCTAGCTCTTATTTTTAATTTTGTCTGTTTCTTTTGGACAGGTCTTGCTATGCTGCCCAAATGAGTCTGTTTTTTTAAAAAAAGATATATTTTATTGTATTTTTTTATATTTATTTTTTAGGCATAGATGGACACAACACGAGGCCTTTATTTTTATGTGGTGCTGAGGATCGAACCCTGGTCCCACCTGTGCTAGGCAAGCGCTCTACCGCTGAGCCACAATCCCAGCTCCCAAGAGATATATTTTAGTTGTAGATGGACACAATATCTTTATTTTATTTAAATGTGGTGCTGAAGATCGAACCCAGTGCCTCACACACACACTAGGTAAGTGCTCTACCACTGAGCCACAACCCCAGTCCCCAAATTAGTCTTAAATTCGTGGACTCAAATGATTGTCCTGATTCAGCCTTCTGTGTACCTAGATGTACATGTGTGTTCCACTGCACCTGGCAGTGGCTTTATTTATTTATTTATTTAAAATTTTCATTAGTTTCGGAAAATTAGCCCTTTCCTGTGAAATATATCACAGGTTATAATTTCCCTCATTTCCTCATTCATTCTTTCCTCTCCTGGTTTCCCTGTATGTTAAACTGATTCATTTTCTCCTCTTTTAGACCCTTGTATCTTTCATTTTGGATATATTTTGTGATTGATCTCTAAGTTTACTAATTCTCTATCAGTGTTTAACCTGGCTGTTGACCTCAATCTATTGGATTATAATGTTTTTCAGTTATAAAGTTATAATTTGGTTGTTTTTGTGTATTTCCCACTTTTTCTGGCCAAAATTATGAATCATCTACTTATTTATTTACATGATGAACAATCCAACGACTTCAATATTTTGTTCCTTTTCAATAACCTATTGTTTCTGTTGTTAGATCTAGTTTATATTATCTTCTAGTACATATAATTACTTTTGCTTGTGGACCAAATACCATATTTGCATATTTGTTCATCGAAATACTTAGAGGCCTAGGATGATGATGTTTTATCCAGCGAGAATGGTTTTCTGCCAGCTTCCTGGAGGCGTTGGTACTCAGGGATCATCTTAATGCAATTCTCGGTTTGAGAAGGGTTGAAGCCAAGTTGCAATCCCTACATGCAGGGAAATCCTGTAAGGGCTTGCCTATGCTCTTCTCCTTTACTTTTAGGGTGCAGTCCTTTGGGATTCCAATCCAAGACAAGAGTTCTCATGAGGAACACTCTCGCCTAGCAGGTTCTGAACACCAGTCTGTATTGTTAAAATTTCCCCTTGTCCTCTTAACTCTCTCTCAAGAAATGCCTTAGCTGGAAAAGTAGTTCTCAATGTGGGCTGGCATCTCTCAGTTATTCTCTGTCATTCTTCACTAGCTTGTTAGCTTTCCAACCATATCAAGCAGGGATTTTTATGTTTTTCCAGTTTTACTAGTTTTCCCTCAGTGGGAGGCTTGCTCAGAATTACCTAATCACCAATACTGGAAACCCCAACCCCTCCTTCTGCCTATTTTCAGATGGGAAAAGCACTCTAATAACCAGGATCTGCTAAGAAAAAGAACTGACAATGGAAATGTCAACAGCATAACACTTACCCAAGCCCCAAAACAGGATGGGAAGTGCCACCGGAGGGAGATTCTACAAAGAAGCAAGAATATTAGTGTAATACAGTTGAAAACCAATAGTGTTAACTAAATATCCTTCCAGAAAATGAGGGGATCCAATCTTTGCTGACAATGCTTTATACTAAGTTTATGAATGCTACATTATAGCAACTTTTTCCAGTTGGTAACATTTGGTTGTAAGTCACAATGAGAGTCAGGCTGGGGATATCCTTCCCTGATAGAATGTTTGCCTAGCATGTACAGGACCCTGGGTTCAATCCTCAGCACTGGGGAAGGCAATAAGTAAGTAAATAAACAAACCCCTGGAATTTGTCCTTAGTTGTTAGAATGGCCAGGTTGAAGATGGCTGACTTAGCAGTAAACCTCTGACCACTACCATATGAAAGAGGAGGAAGAGGTGATATTTGAAATTCTTGAACCCAGGCTGTGTCAAATGACCTTCACTAAAAAATTTCCAATTTGAGACTTTTATAGGGCTTTCTTTGATGAGTTTACAAAGGCCTGGATTAGGTTCCTTTTGAATAGATTTAAATTACCATTCTCAAATCCACTCTAATCCTTTCCCAAGGTCATCTTGATTAGATTTTTTGGTTTTGGAAATTCCCAAAGATTGATATTATCTGTGACATATGGGTTTAGCCAAATGAATTGAAAGTATTCCCAAGTTTTAGGCATGATTTCCCCATTGTCTTGCCCATGTAACTCTCAGTGAGTAGCCTTAGACAAGTTTGGATAAATGTTAATCCAGTTCTTAACTTCTCTAATCTTGGTTTTTCTCATTTTTAAATAGGAATAAAAAATTTCATTCATGTCATAGGTATTTTGGGAATTTTAAATGAAATAATGAGCATCCTCTTCCTTATTGGATAATAGGATAGTCTCATGAATTTGCTGGTTACCTTGTTCTGATAGGTTATTTGGGGCTGGGTGGGGGCTTCAGGCCCTTTAAAAGGAAGTTCTTAAGGGAGATCAGGGATGGGTGACACCCATTTTGCTGGGATTGCATCATTTGACTGACTAGAGGCCTAAAGGCTGGTACCACATGAGTATGGCTGACTGATGTTAGAATCTGTGTGTCTGATTGTGGAAGCTAAAGTTAAAATTAAGGAATTAGTCATGGATCTCAGGATGGAATCAAGGAGCACAGAGAGTGGTAAAATTCTGAAAACTGAAACTTTCTTATAAATGCTGTTTATTCCTCTTGTATGTTTTGCTGTTATGGCTATCCAGCACTTTGTGGTGTCCTGGCCTCATGGGCCTCAATATGTTATCTACTTTATTTCATTTAGTACTGTTATATTAACTCCATGTTGCATGGGGTGGGGGTGGGGGTGGGGGGGCAGAAAGAAGGCTCAGGGAAGCAAAGTAATTTTTGGTCTGCCTCCAGACTTGGATCTCAGAATATAAAATTATAAAATATTACATATAGGATTTTTGAATTTGAGTATTGACACTGTAAATAGCTGTTGAATTCATGTATTTGCCGTAACAGGGATTGAATCCAGGGGCCCTCTACCAATGAGCAACATCTCCAGCATTTTTGGTTTCTAATTTACAATCCTCCTGCTTCAGCCTCCTGAGTTGCTGGGGTTAGAGGCAGGTACCACCAAGTCTGTCGGAATTCATACATGTAAGAAACTTCTTTTTTTTTGGGGGGGGGTACAAGGATTGAACTCAGGGGCACTTGACCACTGAGCCACACCCCCCAACCCTTTAATTTAGAGACAGGGTCTCATTGAGTTGTTTAGCACCTTGCTTTTGCTGAAACTGACTTTGAACTTGAGATCCT